CCATTGCCTTCCCCATCTTGGTATGTCCCGGCCCGGGTACAGTACCCATTGCCTTCCCCATCTTGGTATGTCCCGGCCCGGGTACAGTACCCATTGCCTTCCCCATCTTGGTATGTCCCGGCCCGGGTACAGTACCCATTGCCTTCCCCATCTTGGTATGTCCCGGCCCGGGTACAGTACCCATTGCCTTCCCCATCTTGGTATGTCCCGGCCCGGGTACAGTACCCATTGCCTTCCCCACCTTGGTGAACGCTTAACACTAAGGCCAAAAGGGAGGATTTGTCTGAGAAATGGATCTGTAACTTTGGTCCAGACAGCATAATAAGTTGAGCCTTGAAGAATGGTGACAGAACATGATGAGGGGATTTTAGGACCAAAATTAGTTTGAACATCAAATTCTTTATCCTGAAGTTTTAGATTAAAATCTGTTTAATCAAAAGGTGTTAACAGTTAATTTTCTCCTATAATGATCAAAATTGATTTTAAAATGACTAAAAATGGTATGTTATAAGAAAAGCAGTCATGGTGAAATTTATCCCACCATATTTCAGATACAGAAAAGTCCAGTCCAAATTAATACTTGCCAACTCTCCCTATTTTGTAAGGAGACTCCCAATTTTGGACCCTTAAATTGAGCATTTTCAACCTGTGAATTCCCTTATTTATCCCTATTTTGTAAGATCAAAAGATGCCATTGAAAAGTTCCATTTCCCCCTAGGGTGTACATACACACATTTTATTTGTGCTTTTAATTCTGACCACAAGTAATCTCCCCCATGGAAATTTCAAAAGTTGTTAAGGATGCTAACTGAAATTAAACATAAAGTGTTTGGCTTTTCTACAGACTGACATGTCTGACAAACTGTTAACGATTTACAGACTGACATGTCTGACAAACTGTTAAAGATCTACAGACTGACATGTCCGACAAACTGATAACGATCTACAGATTGACATGTCCGACAAACTGTTAAATATCTACAGACTGACATGTCCGACAAACTGTTAAAGATCTACAGACTGACATGTCCGACAAACTGTTAAAGATCGTTAACGATCTACAGACTGACATGTCTGACAAACTGTTGACAATCTACAGACTGACATGGCTGACAACCTGTTAATGATCTACAGACTGACACGTCTGACAAACTGTTAACAATCTACAGACTGACATGTCCGACAAACTGTTAACGATCTACAGATTGACATGTCCGACAAACTGTTAAAGATCTACAGACTGACATGTCCGACAAACTGTTAACGATCTACAGACTGACATGTCCGACAAACTGTTGACAATCTACAGACTGACATGTCCGACAAACTGTTAACGATCTACAGACTGACATGTCTGACAAACTGTTAACGATCTACAGACTAACATGTCTGACAAACTGTTAACAATCCCTGTCCCACGCGTTGTGGTGTTTTCCTATGTGCAGTTACCTCCCCTTGACTTCTGTTTGGATATAACTGTAGAACAGTTGGTCCAGGACCAGGTAGTACAATCAGTTAGAGGGAGAGTTTAACAGTCTGAAGTTCAGGGTTGGAGTCGCGGTCTAGCCCGCAGCGTTTTATCTTTATACTCAGAACATCATTATTGATTAGATTTTGTTTATTTTGTCTTTATCATTTCTCATAAAAGCTGATCCTGCAAGGCACGGTTTCCTTAACAGAAATGGTTAATCAAAGCTATAGTCATGGTGGAAAAAATAGTTTCCAATACTTCATTACAGTTGTTGGCAGCGGTGCAGGGATCCATAGTTCTAGGGGAGCTAAGTAAGTTAGAATGGAGGGGATGTCCCGACACACATATAAGGGAGATAACTCTGGCCATTACGTCCTCCAAAGTATAGATATAAGTGTTTATGTTGAATGAGCTACCACCTCTGATACTGCATACTGCATGGGTGCCGCGGCACAGGAGTAGGTGTGGCTAGCAGCACTCTGCACCGCCTTCTTCAGTGGAGACAACTGAGGTGGGTATATATGGTAACCAATCTGTCAAAACATACATAAAAACATATGTTACATAAGGAACTTTAAAACATGGTACAGATTCTTTATTAAGACTCTAAAGCAGCTTCAGTTTTTGTTGCAATTGATGAAAAGCTTAATGAGTTTATAATGATTATGTAAACATACTTTTCTCATCCATTTTTCATACTCATTAAAAATGACTAAGATTATAATATCCACTACAACTATGTTCCTGCACAGTTTAGATAAATGAAGCTTTATATTATAATTGTGTAACTTGAAAATTGTCACTGATAGGAAATAAAACATATGCATGTGCTAGTATAGGCATGTTAACAGAATCAAATTTAAGTCTGGGCTATACAATGTAAACACATTTGAAACCTGTACCTAACACTGTTCCCTATAACTTACCCTCGACCCTCAAGCACTGGCCCATTTTGACATCCCCATACATGACACTGTTCCCTATACCTTCCCCCCCACCCTCAAGCACTGGCCCATTTTGACATCCCCATACATGACACTGTTCCCTATTACTTTACCCTCCACCCGCAAGCACTGGCCCATTTTGACATCCTGGTACATGACACTGTTCCCTATTACTTATCCTCCACCCTCCAGCACTGGCCCATTTTGACATCCCCATACATGACACTGTTCCCTATAACTTACCCTCCACTCTCAAGCACTGGCCCATTTTGACATCCTGGTACATAACACTGTTCCCTATACCTTACCCTCCATCCTCAAGCACTGGCCCATTTTGACATCCTGGTACATGACACTGTTCCCTATTACTTACCCTCCACCTTCAAGCACTGACCCATTTTGACATCCCCATACATGACACTGTTCCCTATAACTTACCCTCCACCCTCAAGCACTGGCCCATTTTGACATCCTGGTACATAACACTGTTCCCTATACCTTACCCTCCATCCTCAAGCACTGGCCCATTTTGACATCCTGGTACATGACACTGTTCCCTATTACTTACCCTCCACCTTCAAGCACTGACCCATTTTGACATCCCCATACATGACACTGTTCCCTATAACTTACCCTCCACCCTCAAGCACTGGCCCATTTTGACATCCCCATACATGCCACTGTTCCCTATAACTTACCCTTCACCCTCACGCACTGGCCCATTTTGACATCCTGGTACATGACACTGTTCCCTATTACTTACCCTCCACCCTCAAGCACTGGCCCATATTGACATCCTGGTACATAACACTGTTCCCTATTACTTACCCTCCAACCTCAAGCACTGGCTCATATTGACATCCTGGTACATGACACTGTTCCCTTTTACTTACCCTCCTCCCTCAAGCACTGGCCCATATTGACATCGTGGTACATAACACTGTTCCCTATAACTTACCCTCCACCCTCAAGCACTGGTCCATATTGACATCCTGGTACATGACACTGTTCCCTATAACTTACCCTCCACCCTCAAGCACTGGCCCATATTGACATCCTGGTACATAACACTGTTCCCTATTACTTACCCTCCACCCTCAAGCACTGGCCCATTTTGACATCCCCATACATGACACTGTTCCCTATAACTTACCCTCCACCCTCAAGCACTGGCCCATTTTGACATCCTGGTACATGACACTGTTCCCTATTACTTACCCTCCACCCTCAAGCACTGGCCCATTTTGACATCCCCATACATGACACTGTTCCCTATAACTTACCCTCCACCCTCAAGCACTGGCCCATTTTGACATCCTGGTACATGACACTGTTCCCTATTACTTACCCTCCACCCTCAAGCACTGGCCCATTTTGACATCCCCATACATGACACTGTTCCCTATAACTTACCCTCCACCCTCAAGCACTGGCCCATTTTGACATCCTGGTACATGACACTGTTCCCTATTACTTACCCTCCACCCTCCAGCACTGGCCCATTTTGACATCCCCATACATGACACTGTTCCCTATAACTTACCCTCCACTCTCAAGCACTGGCCCATTTTGACATCCTGGTACATAACACTGTTCCCTATACCTTACCCTCCATCCGCAAGCACTGGCCCATTTTGACATCCTGGTACATGACACTGTTCCCTATTACTTACCCTCCACCCTCCAGCACTGGCCCATTTTGACATCCCCATACATGACACTGTTCCCTATAACTTACCCTCCACTCTCAAGCACTGGCCCATTTTGACATCCTGGTACATAACACTGTTCCCTATACCTTACCCTCCATCCTCAAGCACTGGCCCATTTTGACATCCTGGTACATGACACTGTTCCCTATTACTTACCCTCCACCTTCAAGCACTGGCCCATTTTGACATCCCCATACATGACACTGTTCCCTATAACTTACCCTCCACCCTCAAGCACTGGCCCATTTTGACATCCCCATTCATGCCACTGTTCCCTATAACTTACCCTTCACCCTCAAGCACTGGCCCATTTTGACATCCTGGTACATGACACTGTTCCCTATTACTAACCCTCCACCCTCAAGCACTGGCCCATATGGACATCCTGGTACATAACACTGTTCCCTATTACTTACCCTCCAACCTCAAGCACTGGCTCATATTGACATCCTGGTACATGACACTGTTCCCTTTTACTTAACCTCCTCCCTCCAGCACTGGCCCATTTTGACATTGTGGTACATAACACTGTTCCCTATAACTTACCCTCCACCCTCAAGCACTGGCCCATTTTGACATCCCCATACATGCCACTGTTCCCTATAACTTTCCCTTCACCCTCAAGCACTGGCCCATTTTGACATCCTGGTACATGACACTGTTCCCTATTACTTACCCTCCACCCTCAAGCACTGGCCCATATTGACATCCTGGTACATAACACTGTTCCCTATTACTTACCCTCCAACCTCAAGCACTGGCTCATTTTGACATCCCCATACATGCCACTGTTCCCTTTTACTTACCCTCCTCCCTCCAGCACTGGCCCATTTTGACATTGTGGTACATAACACTGTTCCCTATAACTTACCCTCCGCCCTCAAGCACTGGCCCATTTTGACATCCTGGTACATAACACTGTTTCCTATAGCTTACCCTCCACCCTCCAGAACTGGCCCATTTTGACATCCTGGTACATAACACTGTTCCCTATTACTTACCCTCCACCCTCCAGAACTGGCCCATTTTGACATCCTGGTACATAACACTGTTCCCTATTACTCACCCTCCACCCTCAAGCACTGGCCCATTTTGACATCCTGGTACATGACACTGTTCCCTATTACTTTCCCTCCACCCTCAAGGACTGGCCCATTTTGACATCCCCATACATCACACTGTTCCCTATAACTTACCCTCCACCCTCAAGCACTGGCCCATATTGACATCCCCATACATGACACTGTTCCCTATTACTTACCCTCCCCCCTCAAGGACTGGCCCATTTTGACATCCCCATACATGACACTGTTCCCTATAACTTACCCTCCACCCTCAAGCACTGGTCCATATTGACATCCTGGTACATGACACTGTTCCCTATAACTTACCCTCCACCCTCAAGCACTGGCCCATTTTGCCATCCCCATACATGACACTGTTCCCTATACCTTACCCTCCATCCTCAAGCACTGGCCCATTTTGACATCCTGGTACATAACACTGTTTCCTATAGCTTACCCTCCACCCTCCAGAACTGGCCCATTTTGACATCCTGGTACATAACACTGTTTCCTATAACTTACCCTCCACCCTCCAGAACTGGCCCATTTTGACATCCTGGTACATAACACTGTTCCCTATAACTTACCCTCCACCCTCAAGCACTGGTCCATATTGACATCCTGGTACATGACACTGTTCCCTATAACTTACCCTCCACCCTCAAGCACTGGCCCATATTGACATCCCCATACATGACACTGTTCCCTATTACTTACCCTCCACCCTCAAGGACTGGCCCATTTTGACATCCCCATACATGACACTGTTCCCTATAACTTACCCTCCACCCTCAAGCACTGGCCCATATTGACATCCTGGTACATAACACTGTTCCCTATTACTTACCCTCCACCCTCAAGCACTGGCCCATTTTGACATCCTGGTACATAACACTGTTTCCTATAACTTACCCTCCACCCTCCAGAACTGGCCCATTTTGATATCACTTACCCGCCATCCTCCAGCACTGGCCCATTTTGACATCCTGGTACATAACACTGTTCCCTATAACTTACCCTCCACCCTCCAGAACTGGCCCATTTTGACATCACTTACCCGCCATCCTCCAGCACTGGCCCATTTTGACATCCCTGTACATAACACTGTTCCCTCTGGATATACCTGTTATAAATACATAACTTATACATGTAGAAAATTCTAGGGAAGAATTTGCACAATTCAAATGAAATATTCGATTAGAAAAAGACATTTTGAAACTAATAAATCTTCTGACATAATCAGAAAGAAAATTGAAACATTTTTTTATGTTAAAAAAATACAGAACATGTTCTGACCTTGACTATTGACTTCCAGCTTCAGCAGCTTAGGTGTTTCCTCATTATATTTATCTGAACATGTGTGAAAGTTTTACAATATTCCATTCAAAGCTAAGCATTTTTTGCCTTGGTGAACATCGTGAGGATACCGTGACCTTTACCTTTGACCTCTGCATATTTCTCCATTTAACGTATACGTAAGTATAACTGTAGAAGATCTGATGATAGTCCATACCCAATTTTGAGAGAACTTGAACTAAATGACCTTGTGGCTTTGATCATTGCCTGTCATGATGGGTAAGCTCCCACCCAGATTCCTTATACAGGTGAGTAACTATATTTTATCAACACCCCATGGACAGATGGAAGGATGGACAAAAAGGAATACTGTGATTTTTTATTTTTTTTCATGAGGCCTACATTTTTTGGTTTCTCCAAAAATCACTTATATGGAGAATAGCTAATTATGTAAATCTTGTAATTACTCCACAGACCTATGAATTTGTAGATGAAGAGTTCCCATGAAATCAAAGAAATTAAAGCCCCAAAGAAAATTAGCGATTTCACAGTACAAGTTTCTTCCTGTATATATTTGTGGCTTGGCGAAAAAAGAATTCTTTCTTTAAAGATATTAATAACAGACATACAGTTAGCTCCATCACCACTATATAACAGCACGTACCAGGCACCTTTTGAATGAAGGTAAAATTGATAAAGGACTTATCACTAAATATCACCTACCTGGTACAATGAGTTCATTTTATATCAATTAATTAATATCATTATAATGAGATTTTTTCTTTTCATATTGTATGAATATTAAATTTGCTATACATATATTTAACATCAAGTAATTTGACTTGAACTGCTGTTAATATCACTTTCAATGTTACTTCACAAACCACTTAATTGTCTGCTAAGGCGAAATCTTGAGAGGCAAATGGGACTTAAACATTAGGCAGAATATTGTGTACAATCCGGTGTGCCCTCCCCCCC